AACCTGAGGCAAAATATTTCTCCCCATGTTCCAGCAGAGAAATGGGGTCTTAACAGAATGAGAAGCCAGGCTGGCTCTGTGACGAGAGTTCATTTATGAAATGTGACTTTGGGGGAGATGATAGAGCTAAACAGCAGGGGATGGAGCTGTTTAAGCCTCCCTGTGTTGGGGGGAAGTGTGGCTCTACCAGGCACCTCAGACTGACCACAGCACCTCGCCATATGGTGGCATGAGCAGGGCCACAGTGTGTCCCTGCCAGGCCTGCTGGGGAGCATCCCATCAATCTGTGCTTTTCACCCGGTGCTCCTATTGACAGCTGTGGCTGCTTTCCTCGAATCCTTGGGAGATGTCCTCAAAGCTGAGGCTCAGGGGCATATGTCCCCTTCTCGTCCAGGGAGACTACGATAAATCCACTCAATTCCCATGAAAACCCACTCCAGGACTGCAGATTTGCAAGGCAGGATCCAGCACCCGGTCCTGAGCAGCGCCCTGGGCTGAGAGCCTGGTAAAAATGTCCTGATCCAGTTCATTGAGGTCCATGGCGAAGCGCCCGTCCATCCTGGGGAGAACAAAAGTGTTGGGCTTGGCAAATCATTTCCGTTAATGTAGGAGACAATTACTGATGCCTCTTTGCAAATTGCTCGTCTTTGACGTTTTTATAACTCAGTAATTTCCAGTTGTGTTCCCATGTTTGCCTCTTTTGTGTATAGTTTTCCTATTTTTGAGTGCATGGTTCACAACATTTAAACAAACACTAACAACAAATTACCTGCTCAACTGGGTTCTGTGAAAAGGGGCCCTGAAACTTATTTACAAATTAAGCAGACTCGGGCAAGGAGGGAATAGTCACCGGGAGCGATTTGCGGGTGCTCTGCAAATCACGCGTGGTTCTCTCGCCAGAAAAGTCCTGCATTTGGGGAGGGTGAGGGCCCGGCGGTGGAACTCTGTGTATCTTGCCCAAGACCTTCTCTCACAGAGAAAAAAATCCACCTGATTTTCTTTTTTTTTTTTTTTTTTCTTTTCTTTTTTTTTTTTTTTTTTTTTTTTATAAATCTCTGGTGAAAAGATCCATCAGAGAAGTAAATCAATACACGAAGAACCCCACACCCGGCCTCACATGTTCTTACTTATTTTCCCGTTTAAAGAATTACTCTGTTTTGCTTTCCTTTAATTTCCTCCGATTATAGTAAAATAAAGATTACATAAAGTTTACTTTCCAAAAAATCAGATCTCATTTTAAATCACATTTAAGACATGATGCAAATTTCTCCACAACTTTCTGAAAGAGGTTTTTTTTTTTAAACGGAATTGATCACTCCAAATGCAATCTCTCCTCACTTAAAACGCATAATTGTTAAGATGGGAAGCAACTATGTACTTTGTTTTTTATTGTATTTTTAATCCTGTAAATCTCTGCAGTATTTCGTTGCACGGCAGTTTTTATGTATTTCGCCTCGGGCTGATGTAAGATTGCATCCCAGTATGTTTGGCTAACTCTGTTCTCCCATTTCGATAGGGCGATTTTGCTACTTTAAAAATCTTTAAAGTAGCAAAACTTTAAAATTCAGCTGTGTATCCGTTTACACAAGTTATTGCCATGATAACACCCTGAAAAATTATTTATGTCTGAAGTTTTCACAGCTCGGGATTTTCAGCTCTTTTCATTGGTCTCCGCATTTTGTTTTTCTCTGATTTCCCAAAAGATAAAGAGGGACCTACCAATATTTGCAATCGGATTTTGTTGTCTCCATTCATCGCTGAATTTCGAGATACCTTTAATGTGGTTCGGAACATCTTTAACATTTAAAAGCTCCCGTTGAACGGAAAAGCAGAGACATTCTTGTCCTGCAAGAAGGAATTTTAAACTGGAATAGGTCTCTGCTCTTTTTGTTTTACCATTATTAGCGTTGTTTTTGCGCTAAGAAAAATACAAGGTTTAGGCTGCGTTTAAGCGCTGTCTGCGTTGCAGGTGGAGCGTAGGGATCGGGACCCTCTCTTCTTTGTTTTCTCCTCTGTTTTTGAGGCGGGGGGCCCGGCAGAGCCGCCTCTTCCCACCTGGGAGCGCAGAGCGCGGTGGCGGATCCCGGTGTCCCGAGGCAGGTCAGCACAGGCAGGGCACACACCTCCTGTGCGGGAATTTGTCGGCCGGGAAGCCCCCGCAGGTCTGACCCTTCCTTCCATCTCTGCATCCCATCACCTCCCCGAGGTTTCCCCTCTTGTCGGAGGTGGGCAGAACCGGCACGGGCAGGGCCAGGCAGCGCTCTGGGCCAGGCGAACCTCTCCGCGCACCCCGGGGAAGCTATAGGTAAAAGGAAAGGGAAAATAAATCCTTTTTGGAGTCGTCGGAAGAAGCGGCTCCGGGGCAGGATGGGCAGAAAGGCCCCGGGGAAATCGGCAGGGAGCTTGCGTGACCCAGGGGAGGAAGGCGGAGGGTAGCTGTCCTCGGGCACTCGAGTTGAGCAAGCCTCTTTCATCTTTTCTGTCGCTTTGGCTTAATTTACCTCTGCCCTCCAACGCCCTGTGAGTTTAATCACATCAGATCTCCTTCAAGCCAGAGCCAAAGACTGGAAAGAACTAAAGAATGAGCAAGAGGATGAGAGAGTGGAAGGGAGAGAGAAAGGGAGAGAAAGAGGAAGGGAAAAGGGAGAAACAGAAAAAGGATGAGAGAGAGAATGAAAGGAAATTAAAAACTAAGGAATTGAGAGAAAGAATGCAAGTAGGAATACGAAATAGTCCCTTTATCTTAGGTAAAAAGTAATAGGCAGGTGGTCACAGGGCTTCTGGTGACATTTGACACGGCAGCAGAGATGCTGTTCCTCTTCCCCGGGCGCACAAGCGCAGCCCGCGGGTGGAGCGCGGCTCCGCGGGTGACGGCAGCTCCTCCGTGGGGCCGAGTGGGACTTGGCCAGCTTCTCCTGACATCTGTGCGTGTGTGAAATCATTGTAGCGCTGACATGCAACACAAACATGCCTCCGTGAGAGCCCGCTAGTCCCTGGGCACCTTTGAAATCTGGGTCTGATTGGGGTGTTGTTTTGGTTTGGTTTGGGAAGAGTTTGTTGGTGGAGTTGGGGCTTTTTTTGGGCGGAGGGGAGATGCAGTCTCGTTGTGGTCCCTTGAAACGAACATTGGGAAGGTTTGCTTTGTTGATTTAGTACCAACAACAATTGCTGGTTGGCAATCTTTTATTCGCATTAGCTCTGCTGCTCGGATGTGAAAGGAGAAGCGGGACGATTCACACCGCTTGCTGGAAGCCTTGGTTAATGGGCACGGATCGATTAGTTGTCAGGTCTGCGCCTTCCCCAGGTCACGGCGTGAACCGGGGGTTCCCAGCGGCTCCGCAGCATCCCTCGCTCCTGCATCATTCCCAGAGCTGCGGCAAGCCCTGGAGCCGCAGCTTCGGCGGCCGTGGCAGCCTGTGGCGAGCTGGGGTCCAGTCAGGAAGCCCACCCGAGCCCTGCGAGAGCCTTCTTGTTTATTTGCCTGTTTATGGCCCTGTGTGTGCCCCGCTGCCCTCCCCCCTCCGGCCGCCGGGCCAGTGCCGCAGCGCCTTCCCTTCCCTTCCTTTCCCTTCCCGGCAAAGGCTGAGGAGGGGAAAGCTCCGGGAGGGGAAAGCCGTGGAGCGGGAGGGAGCCCGGGGCTCTGCCCGCGGTTCCTGGGCTGCTCCGGTCCCGAAGCCCTGCCGAGCCACCCCCGCCCCAGCCGGGGTCACCTGCGGGAATCCCTGGATGAACTCGGGGGTGGGGGACCCCCCTCCCCCCAGAGGAACAGCGGGCTTGGATCAACTGGTTGACAGACTTCTGTCACGTTTGAAGCTTTTTTAATGAGCAAATGTGCTCCCTTCCAACCCCCCTTTCTGCCCCATCTACTCTGGTCAGCCTCAAGCGGGCGGCTGGGAGGGAGGGATGGGGCAGAGGGGCGGCTTCTCTCGCTGCCGGGGGGAAGGGGAGCTGCTGCCCAACCCTGCCCCTCGCAGCAGCTTCCCCTTCGCAACCTGGCTAACCCAGCGTTCCCGGCTGTTTTCCAGGGATGGAACCATGTCGTTTTCCTTCTTTCCCTCGGTCACTGAAGAGGGGCCACCCCTTCGGTCAGCGCCGTGCGTGCTCACCGAGAGCACCCAGGGGGAGACCAGCAGACATTCAGGCCGACCTGGGTCCCCTTCCCAGGGGACAGGAGGAAGGAACACCCGCTGGCCTTCACGGTCAGTGGCAGTCCGGACAGGCCTGTGGGAGTCACCCCTGAGCCCCCCGGAGAGTGGCTGCTGTTTGTAGGTGGGAAAATAGGACTTTTTTTCTGGTCACCGCAGCCCCGGCCGTGCCACAAGATGTGTCATCCTGGGAGGGACAGCCGGCTCGCCCCAGCCCCGTCGGTGGCAGCAAATCCCCCGCAGCACTGGGGATGTTCAAAGATAAAAAAAGTTAAACCAAGCCAACAACACAAATACGCACACCCATCCCAGTGAAGGCGGTGGACAAGGGCTAAAGACAAAGAGGGAGCCAGGTCAGAAAGACAATTGTCGTTTCTGATTTTGCCTTTGTGATTTCTTCACTTTCCATATAACATTCAGGTGTGCTGTTGGCAGCGGCGGTAAGTCCCACGTCATAACCTTGCTGAAATTTTTCCACCGGTCGGTACAATTCAAACACTCGTTCTTCTTAAAAGAGAAATAAAAGAAAATAAAAAGTCATCCCCAAACGCGTGGAATTAAGGTTCTACTAGGATTTACACTTCCAAACAACCATCGGGCAGTATCCCGGCACCAAAAGCCCCGCCGCAGGGAGTGCTAATTTTTCCTAAGGATACCTTCCCCATTTTAGGGAAAGCGGGCTAATAACTTAAGTTTGTGAAGTCACATGTAGCTTTAAATAGGCATCAACATTAACAATCACGAACCTCGCGCTAATAGCTCTTAAATACCTCGCTAATAACCCCCACGTGGAAAGAAATCCCCAAGTGTTATAAATTCAGTTTAACGACCAGAAAACCTCCTGGGCAGCGGCGAAATACGAAAACTCCTTTCTCTGAGTTCCCTGTCTTTGATTTATTTTTAACTAGGCGCTCATGGGAACGCGGCGCTGGAAAATCACGTCCAGATGTACCTAAAGAGGCGCTTTCTCTGCTGAAAACCTCTCTCCTAAGGGGAGTGAAGAAAAAAAAATCTTTAAAGTAGTTTGAAATTTGGTTTTGCCGTGGATCTAACCGTAAAAAGAAGGGGCAAAGCGGCGGCTGCGTTCGATGCAGAGACGCTCAGCGAGGAGGGAGCGGCTCTGAAAATAGAGCGCAAAGGAGACGTGCTCCTCTAGGGCAGCCTGCACCGGGTGGAGGGGAGGCAGCTCAGAGCCCAGGGCTGTTCGCTGGTCTCTTTCCGTGCTTTGGGAGGATGCCCGGGTTTGCCCGGAGCCGGGCGGGCTGCAGCCCCTCCGCGCCGCAGCCCCTGCTCCTTCGGTGAAGTATCACAGATTTATTTGGCTGTGAGAGTGGGTTTGCGGGAGGAGGAGAGATAAACGGCCCTGAGAAATGCAGGGGCTTTTCACAGGTAAGAAATCTTTTGCCTAAGCCTCTGCAGGGACTTTTTAGTGCCTTGAAATGTTTGAACGAAAAACATCTATTTCCGACAGCTTTCACAAAGGTTATTCGCTTTTTGTTTCGGTAATTTTGATTTTTTTTTACTTTTTTTTTTTTTCTTTTGAGAATTACATCCAAGATAGAATCGGGAAAGGGAAACAAACATGGCTGTGCTTGCTGCTGGCTCTCATTTAATTTATTCCGTCTAATATTCCATATAATAACATGAAACAATGGACAGAATCATCCATCCCCTTTCAATTGTACAATAACGAATTATTCCGGTACAGTAATTTGGGGCTGGATGTACCTGTACAGATTTATTTTAAGTTTTTGTTTCCCGATGAGAGATTAACAAATCGCCTGAGCAGCCGGCCGTATGGAGAGCACAAAGCTGTCTGTCCTCGCCTCAGTATCGGGTATTACAATTCAAATCCAATCCTTTTCACCCCGTATTATTGGAAAAGGTTGTAGGGAGTTGGCCTTTGTTGCAGGAAATCCCATTTAAAAATTGCTTTATAGGCCATTTACTGCAATCCTCGACATTGATCTCATTACAAGTCCCTCTCACCGCTGTTTATAAATCCTGGTATTTACCAGCCCTTGGCAGCCACGCCTGGTGGCATTGCTTGCTAGGGTCTGTCACTGGGAGGAGGATAAGAAATGGAGGCTCCGTGCCACTTTCTGGATGGTTTTGTCTGGAGGAGACATTATTATTTACTGGAACAGTTGGCCAGAAGTAAATCTTGTACTGACACATCCAGTACAATCTCTTAAACCTCCAGGCAGTCTGTTTGCAGAGGACGTGGATTTCTGTGCCGGAGCCTTCTCACGCAATGGCCTAATTCAGCCAGGAGGGGAGAAACAACCCTCTAGGTGGTGGGTTAATTGTTGGATTTAATAGTCTGGAGAAAAATGAAAAAGCAAATTAATAGAATTAATCTCTGAACTGGTTCCAGAAGCTTTGAAGGGATGCTCTTCCAGAATGCATCTCTGGGCAGGACTGTGTGGCTATGAAGTTGATAAGTTGTAGCATCTTTGGGTACTAGCAACTGTATAGATAAAGGGAGGAGTTAGGCCTTAAAACTTGCCTTTGTCTTGAAATGGGAAGCTGCAAAACACATGCTGGCTGGAAATGAAACAAAATACAGTGATGAGTGTACTTTTTCTTTCTACCAGTTCTTTCTGTACTACCAGGTAAAGCCACAAATCAAAACCAGGCTGAATGTTCCTCTAAGACCCATATTTTATTTTTTTTTTTAATGGCAGCTGGATCTAGAACTAAGGAAATATGTGGCTATATTTGAATTCTGAAATAGCATGAAGATTTTAATCCCATTTCTGAATCATTATAACAATAGGGTTATCCCAATGGCTATGTTTAAAAAGTTTCTTTTAAATTAACGTGAGAACAGAATTGGTATTTAGAATAATGTTTGTTTTTCTCCCTAGGGAGTATCTGTACCTGATGCCTAAGTCGTCAGTGGGATTTGCCTGTTGCAGTACTGCCAAGCTGGTTTGAGGCTAGCTGTCCTCAGAAGAAGCATGGAGTCTCAAGTTCCCCAGCCAGTACCCTAGAGAGAAGAAAAAGAAAAAAAAAACCCAAAAGATTCCCATCCCGGACTTGTGGGAAGAGCAACAAAACAAGCAGGCAGATGCTTCTACCTTCTATTTACAAGATTTCGGGAGAATGTCAGGCCTGACAATCCATACTGTATGTAGAATATCTCTAGGAGCTCCTTTATCATGGTGTGTCCTGTCAGCTGATTCAGCTCAGTGAGTCATCAACAGTTAAACTATGCTCTTAAGTTCTGGAAGACAAATTTTCTAATCTGAATTGAAGCACAGCCACAGAGTGAGGGCTCTTGCACCCCTTGCTAACTAGGGGGTAGTCTAGGGTGAGGAATTCTTGCTAAAATTTTCCATCATAAGAGGCTAATTAAAGCCAGAAAATGAAACGAGACTGGATCCAAGATCTTCTGAGTGTGAAATCTGTCATTGTGTTCTAGAGATTTTTCTCTCCATTTTCAATATGTCTGTTTCATTGCATTTCTTCTCCTCACACTTGTTTATTACACTGATTTCCAGTTCGTGTTAGTGAAGGTCCTTATCAGATTGATTGTTCCTCTATTATGATGAGTTTCTCTGGAGGCTGTCTGATGCATCCTCCTGCTCAAAATGGTCAGAACAAGTTGCTGAATAGTTAAATGGATTTTTCTGTATTTCAATTTTTACCTACTGTGTCTTTTCACTGGACATCACTGTGTGCAGCTCCATCTTCTTCACTATCTTTTCTCACAGGAGTGTTGTTTACACATTATAAGATTTCCTGGAGCCTTCTCCAGGCTGAACAGTTCCAGATCTCTTGGCTTCTCAGAGGATCATCAAAATTGGAAAAGAACTTTAAGATCATCCAGTCCAACTGCCAGCCCAGCACTGCCCCTGTAACCCCTAAACCCCATCACCCACTGTCAGAACCAGAGGTGTCTTAATCACCTTCAGGTGTAGTGACAGCTATTTCAGCCCCTTAATTGTCTTTGTGGCCCTCACACCAATAAGGTCATGTCTCATCCTGGGGAGCTCAGAGCTGGACACAACACTCCAGACATATCCTGCCATTGTTGGGCTGAAAAGAATGATTGCCTCCCTTCACCTGCTGGCAAATTCAAATTTAGGATCACACTCCTGCATGCTCAGAGTCTCTAAATTCCTCCTAGGTCATCTGTTCTGGCTTCTTTTTTAATTTCTTCAGGAGCTCCTTATTCATCCATGGATGTCTCCCATAGCTTTTGTTTAATTTTCCACACATTGAATTGGACTGTTGTTAAGGTTGAAGGAGGCTGAAAATCAGCCAGCTCTCCTGGGACTCTTAATTCTTATTTTCCAAGAGAGGAGAAAAGTCCATGGGATTTTGACAAGCAGGTACGTGAAAGTGCCAGAGCCTGTTGGGTTGTGTTTCTGCCAGTTGCTCATTTCCTTCCCTTGAGGGCCTTCAACTTCACAATTTCATGGTTGCTGCAACCAAGACTGCCTTCAGCCCTCTCATCCCTGAACAGCCCTTCTTCATTTGCAAGGATGAGATTCAGAAGGCTGTCTCCTTCCACCTGTCCCTTCAACAGGAGGGTGTCAAGAAGTTATCATTAATGCATCTTGAAAGCAGCCAGGGTCCCTTGTACCCCGTTGTCTTGCCCTTTTGGCAGTTTTTGTAGTAGTTAATCCCAATTATGAGCACTTCATAATAATAAATTATTAAATGAAACTATTGTAAGAATAAATTATTTAAAAAACCTAAAGAGCAAAAATATGGTCCTTATTCAAACTGATATTTTGAGTTTCAACTTGCCTAAGTGGAGATAATGAACTACTAAATGGAAATTAACATGTTTTTTGTGGTGAAAAATAGACCCAATTCAAAGGAAATCTGTACCTCCTACAAAATACTGTGTCCTGGGGAGGCATGATACAGAATTGTTATATTAGAGAGGATTTTCCAGTGAGGGACCCTGTTGGGGGTATCTGGATTAAGACTGGAGAATCTGTGGAAATCTGTAGGTTCACCCTGCCTGACAGGTGAGCCTTCATCCAGACAGGTGAGCTTCTTCCTTATTCCCCCTCAGTAGGATGGTGGTAAGAACTGAAATGAGAAAAAGTGAGAAAACTTATGGGTTGAGATAAAGGTACTTCAATAAGTGCAATAAAAACTTTAAAAAAAAGCGAGTGCTTATATTTACATCGCTTTCAGCAGAACAATACTGTGACAGTCATCAAGCAACAGCTTCTTTGGCAAAACACTCTGCAGTTTTATTGCCAAGTGTGATATTACGCAATCTGGAGGATCTCTTTGTGGGTTGGCTCTCCATCTGTGTCCTCTCTCAAACCCCTGCTCACCTCCTCCTTGCCTCTTGAAGGGGCAGAGTTGAAAGGTAGGGAAGTCTTTATGCTGTGAATCTGATGGATGCTGTGCATTGGTCAGTAATAGATAAAGCACTGGTGTGATATCAATGCTGTTTTGGGCACAAATACACAACACAGCATCATATGGGCTGCTGTGAAGAAAATTATCTCCCCCTCAGCCAGACCCCAGTATGAGGCTTTACACTGTTTTTAGGGAGGAAAAAAAAAATAAAATTGAAAATCTGGTCTGATCATCATAGCTGTTTTTTGGTTTTTGGGTATTTTTTTAAGGAATATGATGACCTTTCTGAATGGTTTCTTCATGAAAAGTTCAGTGGCAGGTGAGAGTAATAATATCTGATAGAAAGAATAATATGACTTGACTTCAGTAGCACCTTCTGGCCAGTTGGGAACTTGGGAAGTAGTGCTCAAGGTGAGCAGAAGAAATCCTCCTCCTGGCACAGGATCCCTGCCTGGGCATTTGGGTGGGATGGGATGTCAGTGTCACGGATCATAGGGGAAGAGCCCAAGGCAGGTCAGTTTGGTAAGATCTGACCTACTAATTTAAACACTTCTTTCTAGGCACAGTGAGTAAGAGTGGCTTTTGTCCCTTACTTAAAGGCTTCATTTGGCTTAGTTAGCTGTCTCTAACATTAATTTGAAGCTTTGTTGTGTTTTTAGAGAGCATCCCTCTCCCTCCAAGCTGCTGCTCTGCTCGGCTTTCTGTTCCCTGGGCAAATCCTCAGTTTCTTACAGTTCTTCACAGTGTCTTTATGCACATAAAGATTCTCACTGGAATCACACACAAAATATTTTATGAAGAGACTGGCTGTAAATTCACAGCTAGCAGCTAAATAGCCTCCATACCATTTAAAAACTCAGTGAGATTTATATTTCTGCACTGTTAGTATTGTTTTACATCCTCTGTTATCATAGATCACCTCTCAGCATTCAGAAACTGAATACTGTTGAATTTTGGAGTTACAAACTCAGCGTCATTACATGCCTCATATTATTGACATGATGGTGAAAGAGATCAGGTAATCTTGTGTTTAAATTGCAAGACAAATTATGTAAGTTTGCACCTTCATTTTGGAATATTTTACATGAGAATAACTTTTTTTTTGTAATAATTTTATCCAAAGATTAAAAGAATTTTCAGACTGTAGATGAAGTTATGCAATCCTTAAAAAGTGGTGGTTTTTTCTTTGAAAATCAGCTCTGGTTTGTGCAAATCGGGGTATGAATACAAAGATTTGAGGAGTATTCTTGTTGTTTGAGTTTTTTTGAAGGGAGATAGTATCCATTGATAACTTACGTTGAAGAGATTAAAATGTATTGGAAATGGCTTTTGCTTTTAATGAGGATATTTTATTAAAGTCTTGTTCAGTGGGATGAAGCAAGCAGAGCCAACGGAATAGCCTTCATTGAAATATACTTTGATGGGTTTTTTAATTTGGTATTTTTCAAAATACTTTAACATCTCTCCAAACACAGAATAAAAAGACAGTTTATTCCCTCAACAATTCAACATTTAAATAATTCCAAAATTCTCAATAGAACCTGAAACCTCTGCAGCCTTTCAATCTGCTGCCTGGATGGTTGGGTTTTTCAGCAGTAATAAAGCTCTGTTCCCATGTGTGATGCCACAGGAGCCACTTCATCTTATCAATAAGGTCATTCATGAAAAACAGCAATCTTGCCTTTAGAAAAGATATTACAGAAACTTCATGGTTTCCAGAAAACATTAAATCCACATTAAAAACAATCCCATAAAATCCATCAAATCCATAAAACCACAGCTCAGCTGTCTGCAGCAGCTGCTGTCCCACCTGAATATTTGCCTCAAACGTGTCCATCCCTTGAAGGCACTCAGTTGCCCAGTGACTGTGGTTTGCAGAGAGAGGTCTGAAGGCTTTCCTAGGCATGTTGACATAAGTATTTAATAGGTAATGTGAGCAGACTTTAGGAAGGGGGAAAACCCAGTATTTCTTATACCAAAGTAAAAATCAGGGTTTCTGGCTTCCAGAGAGTGTGTGCCACCCTGGGCTCCAGTCTGGCTTACCCCAGCCAGGGGCTCTTTTGTCCCAGGCTGGCACTCAAGCACTTGTGTGGCTGTGGCTCCAAGAAGTGGCTGCTTTAGGGACAGACACAGCACATTCCTGCAGCTGCTGATCACCTGGGAGAAGCACACCATGAACCATGTGAGATAAAGATACTGATGGTTGGGGGGTCTTCTGCCTCTGATCAAGGATGCTGCTGGACATCATCCTGAGGCTGGCTGGATCTCCCTTGTGCATGGTGAGAGCCACAGAAGGCATTTCCCAAAGGCTGTGTGTTGCTTGCAGCCTGAATGCCAGAGGGTCTTGCTCAGTTCAACAGGATTCACACCTTTGGCTTAATTTATTTCCAGATACTGAAGAGTTTTACTATGGGTGGGGTTTCTTCATCACTGCATGCAACAGGCTGCTCTCCTCATGGGGCATCCATCCTCATGGACACCCAGCAGAGCCCTGCTCTCCCTGTAGCTCCCTGGGAGACAGAAACACAGTGTATTTTTCACTTACTGCCCTTAGTGATTTAAAAAACAGAGGAAAATTTGGAAAATACAGCTACTTCCAGTCCATGACTGAACACACCCCCAACACAGCAGGGTTTCATTTGTGAGTGTGAAATATTGGCAATCATGC